AGGAAAAATTAAATTAAGCAAACTGCGGGAAGTAGGCCTTGTGCTCTGAATGGGTTGAAGGCACTCTCCTGTCACATAATATCAACAAAAAATTCACAAGGATTGCCCATAGCGTGTTGAAAAGACTGCCGACTAGCTGTGAGTTCTGGGGGGACGTTTGCTAGCTCCCGGACGGGAGGAGCCCCAGGTGGGCTGTTGCTTGCTGCCGCTTTGGGGGCGAGGTGAGCGAGGCAGTAAGGAGGGGGCAGACCCGGTGGGCCGTACGAAGAGCCGTGACTTCTCTCACTGTGGGCACAGGACAGATGATTGGGCTGAATGAAAGGGGCATGGCTGTAGGTGAACTTGTGGCTATGCTGCAAGACGCTGTGACACTGGCCGTGGCTGTACCCAGAATGAGCGTTGCTGTGGCTGGAGTGGGCCTGACTGGCAGCAGAGCGGCTGTGGCTTTGATGACTTAGCTGACTGGGTGCTCTCTCACCCCTCCTTCCGACCCACGTTCCCATTTCTGATTCGCTGCCCCCACAGCACGGTGCCTTATGGTCCTTTTCTCGAGGGGAGGGTCTCCGTCCTTTCCCAGCGCTGGGGTTGGAGCCACTGCTTCTGCTACCTGAGGTGAAAGACAAATGTATTTGGACAAAAGTAGTATTATTTTCCCTCACAAAACCATATGCTAACCAGATCCAACAAGCAATGTTTCGAATTTCGAATTACAGCCGTGACAAGCAAATCTACATTTGGTTAGTTGCTTGACTTATATTTCTGCAGCGTCAACCAACTTGAAATCAGCTTCTCATCTACACTACTTTTCAAAGGTTTGAGGTGAAGAGGGATTTTTTATAAGAAGTGAATACTTGACACGTTAAATTGATTTTTAAAAAATGGCAGTAAAGACTTTTACATTGTTATAAAAATATTTCAAATAAATACTGTTCTTATGAACTTTCTATTCATCCATGAATCTTGGAAAATAAATGTATCAAGGTTTCCAAAAAAAAAATAAAAAATAGGTAGCACAATTGTTTTCAACATTGCTATAAGAAATGTTTCTTGAGCACCAAATCAGCATATTAGAATGATTTCTGAAGGATCATGTGACACCGAAGATTAAAATTACATTTTGTCATCACAGGAATAAATTTAATTTCAAAATATATTAAAAGAGAAAAGTTATTTTTTTAATTGTAATATTTCACATCACTATTTTTACTGTATTTTTGATCAAAAAATTGCAGCCTTGGTGAGCCTAAGAGACAAAACATTTTCAAAAATGTTACAAAAATCTTAACCAAACCCTAACGTTAGAATGGTAGTGTATATTAAACATCAAACATATACAAGGAGAGAATGATTGTGGAAGTTGACAAAGATTGCACAAATCCCTCGTCATGCGGCAACATTTTTGATGACCCAGTTCAATCCTGTCTCTACAGAAACGGTCTCATTAAAATAAAAGGTTTTTACATACAAATATTCAGTATGTAATACTAAAAACAACCAAAAGAGATACAAATTCCACAATTCTGTCAATAAACAACATTTTAAAAAGTCGTGTGGAGAGGCATCATTGAAGGTACATATTCTTAGTTTTACGCTCTTCATCTGTGCTCTGATTGGCTGTAATGTTGTTGTGTAGCACAAAATCAGTATATTAGAATGATTTCTGTAGGATCATGCAACACTAAAACTGGAGTAATGGCTGCAGAAAATTCAGCTTTCCCATTACAAGAATAAATTACATTTCAAAATACATTAAAATTGAACACAGCTATTTTAAATTCCAATAATATTTCACAATATTGCTATATTTTTGATCAAGTAAATGCAGCCTTGGTGATATAAGAGACGTTTTTCTAAGATTGAAAAATCTTTATCAACTCAAGTGTGTGTTGACTGTACTTTGGCACAGGTCTCCAAAAGTGTAGTAGCACTGCTCCGAGAAGGTGATTTTATTGACTGTGTGTCTCAGGTAGCCGTGTTTCAACAAACTACTGGCGTATTTTCTAGCATCCCGACGGTCCTTGAAGCCCTCCACCCGTGAGAACAACCAGTCGACAACATCAGCCCCTGGAACACAGCGATTTGAGCAATGAGAAAAATAACACCAATTACATTGATTATACAAAACATCTACCAAAAACTTGATGCATGCAATAAACAAGGCACAAGGAAAGTAACTCCCACCCATCAAATTCAAACCACAGCAAAGAAAGGCACAAACCGATGACAGCGTTGGCTATAGTGATCTTCAACCACATTCGGTCTCTGATCTCCAGGCCTGAATCTGGTAGCTGCATGACCTTTACTATAGTTGCCATGTCTGTTTTTGACACCGAAAGGGGGAGGTCATCAAACTCTGTGAAATAAGGGAGAAATAACAGTTTTGAGCATGATAAGTCTGCCATTCTATTAACAGAAGATTTGACTTTGATCATACCATAATGGGGGTATGGCCCAGAAAGTGCTGTAGTGTGTGAGATCCAGGCAGCAGGGTCGATGGGTCTCACCGGCTCGGCTGAGGACAGACAGACTGCAGAATTTAAGTACAATCCGAAAGGTAATAAAACCGATCCAAAAAATGAACTGGATGAATGCAGCATGGGTCTTCATGTCTATAATTTAGCTGCTATAATGGTAGGCGGTAGGTACCTCTAGGGATGGTGAAGTAGCTTCTAGGAGAGGGGTCCCAACATTTCGCCACTGTTAGGCTTATCGGCCTGTAGAGGACAAATGAAACATGAAACAATGTTAAAGAGAGCATTATGACAGATTTACTGAGAAAATGTATCAATCAACTGAGGTATAACACCCAATCTCACCCAGGTTTGGAGACGAGCTCCCGTAGAATCCTGACAGCATCATCATTACTCATGTTCTCAAAGTTTACGTCATTGACCTGAGAAAATTATACTTCCATTAAACCTCCCATTATTTGATGCATTACATATATTTTTCCTATTTGAGGCAATTATTTGAGAGATAGTACACCTAAAAAAAACAAAAAATTATTTTTATTATTTATGACTTTTTCCCCCCCAAACTCTTATGAGTTAGTTTCTTCTACGGAGCATAAAAGATGAATATCTGAAGAGAATCCTGGCCACTCTTTTCAATAAAAAGAAAGTGAATGAAAACTAGGTCTGTCAAGCTCCAAAATGACTAAGAAGCTGCATAAAGGTCTCATAAAAGTAGAATAAATTACTTATATGCACTATATTTTGAAGTCTGATAGCTATGTGTGACAAACAGACCAAAATGTAATTCAACAGCAACTTAAAAAAACTCACATAAGGCTAGTATATAGAATAGTGAATCAAGTAATATGGACTTCTTTTAGTGCATTTTTACTACAAATTCATTGTAACTGCATGAAAAAGGATGAAGGGATATTATCAAAATATCTCTTTTTATGTTTCACACAAGAAAGAAAATTCAAATCAGTTTGGAACAAATTGGTGAGTAAATAATGACTTTTAGGTTAATTCATTCTTGAAAAAAAATCAACAAGTTAGTTTCTCAGTCTACCAAACTGGCTGTTTGTTTACATACGTGATGTTTTATGGTCACTTGGACATCATTCTGCAAAATTCACCTAATAACACAGGGTCATCTAACCATTATTGTTTCTAAATCAGATCACTGGGTTGAGGAAAGCCCCACTGTTATGTAAATAAAAGACTTGAAAGCACCATTCTGTCCTTTGTGGCCAATGACACCAAAAGGTCCTTTAGCAGGAAGGAAAGGGAGTAGAACACAATAAGTCAACAAAACAGGAAAGTGACCCAACTAAAACTTGACAATTGAAAAGTGCATTTACAAACTAAAAAGAGAAGAGACTTACAATAACAGGCCAGTTTCAGTTCTGTTAATGGAACCATTGTTAGTGTAAATGATCTATTAAATTTATATTGCGCAAACTTACAATGAGGATATAGTCAAGACGACTTTCCTGGTTATAACATTTAAGTGGTATTTACCTAATAGAATAACATGATGGTGACAGAATTTCCCTGTGAGTAACATTGTGGATACTGGCAATTACTTGAATGCACTTCTTTTTTTTATCTCCCTAAAAGCACATTAGATCAGTCTCTTGATCCCTCTTGAAAGTGGTTTCAAACTGCTGACTATTATACCTGTAACAGCATGTCTCCAGGCTCAATCCTGCCGTCAGCCGCCACCGCGCCACCTTTCATAATGGAGCCAATATAGATGCCTCCATCTCCTCTGTCATTACTCTGACCCACTATACTGATGCCCAGGAAGTTGTACTTCTCTGTGAGAAAAAGAGATCAGGCTGTTTCCAAATGACGTGTTCATCTATATTTAGAGCACACTGTGCACACTAGACCTTGAAAAACAGGAGGTTCAGTTTAATAAGCAGGTGGAGTGGACAGATAAGAGAAAAGGGAGAAGGCACAGGGATGGATGATGGGGGAAAAGAAGGGAATGAACTAGTGAATAAGTTCTTACCCATATTGAGAGTGACAGTGATAATGTTGAGACTCATTGTGGAGTCTGTAATACTACTGAAGGATGAGGACTGTCAAAAATACATACAAAAGATTAGTACAGATCAAACACTAATATGTAGAGATGTGTACTTTTTCCTCAATGTTTCTCACCCTGTCCATTTTGGTGACTTTCTGCCTCCGTCGTCGGCGTTTGTGTCTACGCATGAGGTGTGATGAAGAGCTCTGCTCGGTTGAACTGCTAAGTCTGTGGCTTCAGACAAAATGAGAGGTCACAGCAGATGTCAACGCTACACTAATGAAGCAGCATGTTTTTATGAAACTCTAAGTGCACTATTTTGGTGGCCAAACATGATCTCCAATATGAGTTCAGTTTTGAGGCCAATTCTCCATTAGGTTCTCAATTAAAACTACTGCCACATAATTTATTTTGACATTATAACGGTTTAATTCTGACTAGCACTGAGGCATTCACATATTTAAAAAAAAAAAAAAAAAAGTTTTTCAGAAAATCCACAAAAGTATTCTTTACAAATAATTAATTTTAAAATTAATAACCCGATGAGAAGTTAATTCAAACACCAGAGGAAGAATAATGTGCAGGTCAGTGGAAAAATGTCCATAAAGGTGGGAAAAGTTGTTTAATACTGAATATTTGCATTTCTGTTAGAGATGCACAATATATGGACATCATAACAGTTACAGCTTGATATCAGAGATTTATTTAATCGAGGCTTATAATAGAGATTTAAAATTTTTAGATTACTTTGTCATCATCTAGTTAATATTTAATAACACCTAGTTAATGTAATCGGTAACACTTTACTTGAAGGGGTGTGCATAAGACTGACATGACACCTTCATAATCATGACATGACATATGTCATGAATATGAAGGAGGTTTTATGCATGTTTATGACAACTGTTATTAAGTGTCATTCGCTCAGTTATGTCATTTTTAATGCAAATATGACATTATTTGACCTAACCCTAACCTAACCCAACCCCTGCCCTTACCCCTAACCATAGCCCATAACAAAGACATCTCAAACAATGTCATATTTGCATTAAAAATTACATAACTGAGCGAATGACACTTAATGACAGTTGTCATAAACATGCATAAAATGCCTTCATATTCATGACGTGTGTCATGTCATGATTATGTAGGTGTCATGTCATGATTATGAAGGTGTCATGTCAGTCTTATGCACACCCCTTCAAGTAAAGTGTAACCATGTAATCTTCAGCAAATCTCAAAATGAATATCCATTTTATACAGTACATTATGATTTTTTTATATTAATCATGAATGCATTAACTATGGGAAAAATGTAAGATTGTAAACATGATTGAATAATTTCAATTGACCGCTAAACCATAATTAATGCTTAATTTTAAAGATTAATTTCATATTTAATTCTTTGGCCAGCTTTACAAATTAGAGTGAAATGTAGTTATGCCAGTGGGCAAATAAGTACAGTCATTGTTTGAAAGGAAATTAATCCTGGAATCTGAGCCAATAAAATTTGCGTTTAATATTTCCTGGGAAATGAAACATTGTGTGATGTCTGACCTGCTGGCAACCTCATCCTCCTCACTGTCGATAAAAGAGCTGGATTCCAACTCACTGCTCATCACTGACGCACTGTCATAGCCAACAACTGAGTCACGATTCCCACGCTCCGATTTCGAGTGACCGTTCACACGAGGGACTGAGAGAAAACAAGAAAGACATTGTTTAAAAGCTGAGGAAGGCGACAGCATAACAACACTTCAAAGAGAGAATACAGTAGATAATTCTGGGAAAGGCATAATAGCTCTGGATGACAAATTAGATAAACAGTAAGGTTTTTTCTTGATAATGGACTTATAAGGACTGTCTTTGTTTAAAGGGGTCATATGATGCGATTTCAAGTTTTCCTTTCTCTTTGGAGTGTTACAAGCTCTTGGTGCATAAAGAAGATCTGTAAAGTTGCAAAGACTAAAGTCTCAAATCCAAAGAGATATTCTTTATAAAAGTTAAGAGTCAACCACTCCTACCTAAAACGTCTTGTTCTAACACGCCCCCACATATCTACGTCACTATGTGTAAATATTAGCATAATGCCACCCAAATGTGCACGCAAAGAAAGAAGGCGTGGTTTCAGTAACTGCAGTTAGTGTTGATGCAGCCATGTCAGGTGACGGTGTGTGTTTCAGTGTGAAAGCAAAAGCACTTTATTTGGCCTTCCGGAAATAGATGCAATTAGGAATTATTGGTTAAGATTTATTTACAACAGAGCAGCACAACCCAGATGTTCGAATTTGTGCAACGCATTTCATGGACGACAGTTTTTTTTTTTTTTTTAGCCTAGAAGAGTACAAGGCTGGCTGTGCACAAAAACTATTTCCCCCCCAAAAAAAGGGTAAATTCCGACTTTGCTATGACAATCTGGCGCTTCTGAATCAGCGACTGTAAGTATGTTTTGTTATTAGTTTAAGTATTTGCTATTGACTGTTCAAATGCGGAGTTTTGCGCAGCGCAGAGTAACGTGTCGTGTGTGTGTGTGTGTGAGGGGAACAGGGTCACATCACAGGAGAGTGAACTGCCTGTCAGAAATCATAGCACGTCAGCTGTCTTAACCGCGGCTTGTGTACTGCATAATCACTGTGTCTGTCACATGACTCTGTTGCCCTTCCGGGCTTGAACTGATGGTAAAACTAACGACATTATTAACGGTCTTGATATTTACTTTGAAAGCGGAAGCTCGCGATTATTGTAATGGGCGTTACATTTCCGATGCGTGCTTGTGGTGTTCGGCCAATCACAATGCACTGGGTCAGCTGGCCAATCAGAGCAGACTGCGCTTGTCAAATGAGGGGGCTTTGTTGAAAACTACGTGTTTGAGAGAGGGGGGGCATAGAGGACCTACAATAATGTACAGTATTTGAAAAATATTGTGTTTTTTGAACATTAAAGCATGTCAACATATTCTGTTACACCAAATACACAAAATAATGATCTTTAAAATATCATTATATGACCCCTTTAAAGGGGTCAACGGATGCCCATTTTCCACAAGTTGATATGATTCTTTAGGGTCTTAATGAAAAGTCTATAACATACTTTGGTTAAAATTTCTCAATGGTAGTGTAAAAAAAAAATTTGACCTAGTCCATGTTGCTTTAAATGCTAATGAGCTCTGCTGACCCTGCCCCTCTCTTCCATGAGGTGATGAGCAGACTGTAAACTTCACCCGCGAAACTTGCTAACTAGCATGTATTAGGAAAGACGATTTGCAAAGACATATAAAAAACCGTTATACTCACTTCTTCTGTAGATGAAGCTGGATCATGAATGATTTGAGCGAACTTAAAACGCATTTAGGCAGATCGGGCATTCCTTTCAAAAACTAAAGTAACGTTAATCCACTGCGTCTTCAGCGGCTCAGATGTCAGGAGTAATGTTAAATAACGAATGCTATATTAGGCCTGGGCGATAAAACGGTATCGATATTTATCGACGGTACACCTTCTTCGATAAAGATATAAAAAAATGTTCGATATGGCGCATGATATAGGCACGTGCTATGAGTGACGCAGACAGCACACACAAACACAAGCACATTGAGTGCTGTGCCTGCCTGTGATGAGGAGATTGTGAATTTAAAAAAATTAATATTAGTCGAATTTAAAATAAACATTTTCATTTGAATGTTGTGCGTGGTTATAAAAAATGTAAATAATTATCGATACCGAACAATATGAAACATTATATCGTTGATACATTTTTTAGCTATATCGCCCAGCCCTATGCTTTATTCATTATTATTCACTAAAAACCATCACATCAGTCAAAAAACAGGGCTGGGGTATACGTACAGAGACAAGGACGAAGCTGCGTCTCTGGGTGGCATCGGATGCGCTGAAACGCTCTGACCAAACGATAAGATCGCTGTGGACCCCGAGAGCGACCAAAACATTCCAGTACTGCAGGAGTGCTCATTTCAGACCATTACCTTCCACATAGCCACTCATGCGCACAAATCAATCACAGCTATTTCAGCCAACCACATTTCAATCTTCACATACAGAGGAAGCTCTACCATTCCTCTGCCATGTGTGAGTTCAAAGGACAATGGTATCACTTCAGCGAGCAAGGGTACAAGCAGAGGCCTGTGGCGAGATGAGCTGCATGCCTGCAGCTGAGTGAAACAGCCTATCAGTAGCCCTCTTTTTCAGAAAGGATGGTCCACAGGTGGGTAATGCATTTATAGCCTCTCCAGAGTCTTTTTAGGCTCAATTTAGTATGCATTAGACATCAGGATAGAGAGAGATAACGGAAGATGAAGATGAATTTGCTCAAGATGTGTGCACCAAAACAAATCCCTCTACATCTGCCTTCAGGAGATGACCTTATGCCTGTGAAGCGAAATATTAATGTCCAGTATATTCATACTAAAATCAAAACAGGCAATAAAAAGACAATGTTTTTTTACATTTGTTTTTAGTGTTTGCATGTCCAGAATGGATGCATGTAAAGAATTACAAAAGTGGGTGAAATAATACTACTCATCAAGAGATTATTATAAATCTTTAGAGAACAGCTTTCATATGGTAAGCCAAATATACTAATTTTAATATAAATATATTTCATATACTAATTATACTTAAAGTAATATAATATAATGTAATATAATATACTTAATTTAAAATGTAATAAAACATAGGATATATATATATATATATATATATATATATATATATACACACACACATACTAATTACTTATGAATGATTATTCAGAAATTAAATACCAATAATAATAAAAAATAAATAAATAATCTTATACACATTAATTATGTGTGTGTGTGTGTGTGTGTATATATATATATATATATATATTATTTATTTATTTATTTATAGACACACACAAATATATAATAAAATGTAATATATATGCACAGCAAAGCTTTACAATTAAGTAAAGTAAAACTCTACATAATATTTTTTTCTTACCTTTACTGAATATATTCTACTTTATCAGTGTATCAGTGACTCATTCCAATAACTTTTAAACCTCCAACTACTCCAACTGTATTTGTATGACGTCAACATTAAATATGGCGCTTTTAACAACATAACTAACTTTTTTTCTTTGCATAAAACATTAGTTAGAATTAATAACAGGGGTTGGTGGATGTAAAAACAAATCGTAATGTTTATGAAACAATCATAATGCATAGTAAAATCATGCGATTTACCTTAAACTGAAAATATCTATACAAAATGCTGGTATCGGAGATGCATTTGTCTTACCTCTACTGCTGCACAGCTCTCATTACAGTACTGCACCTCGCATTAGCTTGCAACATTTCAAGAGCTCAAAGAAATGTAACCTCCTTTACGCGTAAACTCAACTGTCTATCAAACATGAACCCACATCAGTTTCCACTGGAATGGTGCAGGAGTGTGTAAGACAATGAACTACTGGCCCTGAGCGTGGGTGCAGTCTACGCTACTCGCATATAAGCCTCTGGGCACTGTGCTGCCACTGATAATTGATGATTTAACGGAAAAAATGTGCACAAAGAAAATCTGTCATTTTGTTGTGTATTCACGTTGACAGCAAAACACCACACAACGATAAATTCACAAAATCTTGCTTAACCTAAAGATGAGCCAAACCCAAAACAAATCAACACCTGCATGTACACCAAATAGCAAAATGGAAACTGAATATTGGTGGCTCAGCATGGTTAACAGATAAATGCCTGAGGCTAGAAAAGAGATCTTCTCTCTCACTTCTTCTGCCCCTAGGGCACACACCTGTTCTTAATAATCATAAACATATTTTTCATCCAATCACACCCAGCAGAGGTCAGCACTGGGACAACCTTGCCAAATCAGCCTCTGACTCTGCAGGCATGACAGAAAATGAGTGCAAATGCAGTCAGAATTGTGCATTTGTTGTTGTTGTAATGAAAAGGTGAATCTGCTTTTCTAAACTAAGAGCTAAATAAAACTGCAAAGTGATTTCAGTTACAACGAATTAAGAACATTAATACAAATCAATAGTGAAAAATAATCAGATTTGTCATATATACTTTTTTCTGATAAAATAAAAATATAAATACAATATAAAAGACTAAATTCTGATAAAATAAAAACTATAAACATACATGTACAATTAAAAAAAAAATTTTTTAAGACCACCAAGGCTGTATGTATTTCATCAAAAAACAATGTAAAAACTATAAAATATTATTACAATTTAAAATAACTGTTTTCTAAAATATCAGTTTTTTTTATGTATTTTGAAATGTAATTCATTCCTGTGATGGCAAAGCTATACATGACAGCTTTCAGGGTTTAACAGCTCTACTATGCATGACTATTTCTGGAGAAGAAAGGGGGAGCTGACCTGACACATTTCTCATATGCTCTACATCCAAAAAAAACTCCAGAGACACACCGCACAGCTACACGACTGCTCCAGACGTACACATGCTAAACAAACAGATGCTTTATGTCAAAGACAGACCCAAAAAAACACAAGCACAGTGTGGATCCCAACCATCAAATCACTGTTGGGAACTTACTTAAAGTACTGACACTACAGAAGCACTCCGTGGGGGTCTGATGTCTCTAACAGACAGTCGTAAACAGAGGTTCAACAAATATCCATAAATCATCAGTATCTTCAGCAAGCACACAAACACACACACCTCCATCTGTCTCTTGTGTCTAACAGCGTCACTGCTAATGAAGCTGCACTAATTAATGCACTTGGCAATAATGAAGTGCAAACAGCAGGAGAAACGGAGAGGAAGAGCATGAAATGATTCTAGTGGACAGAACTGGAGGAGCTGCGGGGCTTCCACAAATACATCAGATAGATGTGAGAAGGAAGCAATCCTCTATTATACTATTCTATACAGTAACAGGCTGAGGAAATAGCTTCAACAATGTAGACATTCTAGACATAGTTGGGACTATTTCAATCACCTTGAAATCTATTGACAACACACACACCTTTAATCTTTACAGGCAAAAGAACCCATAAAGGAGCCAAGAACATTCTTTGCTGATGATGACAGAATATATTTCCCTGCAAAAGGAAGCTTTTATGTTTCCAAGAGACCTCTCTTTACCCAGAGCTCAAGTCAGCACGCACACTAACAAAAATAAACTTTCTGTACTGGTTTAAAACAAGCAAACTTCCAGTAAACGACCACAGAACAGGGTCATTCTGGGAAAGAACTACATCCTGCAACACCCTGTGACAACTTTGGAGCTTTAAAAGTGATGAAGTTAAAATTATGATATTTATTTAACTCATAATTTTTTCTGAAGAAAGATAAGACATGTATAGTGATGAAGCCAAAATATTAAATGTCATGGATGAATATTTACGGAGTAATCCACTATTTTGTAGAGGGGAAGGGGTCAAAATGGCAATTTTAACCTGAGATTCAAAGAGGGCTAAAATGACTTCAGAAAGATGGCAGTATCATAATGTCGCATTCACACAGAGATTGGTAGGTCTGTTAGTAAAATCTGGTGACTTCAGCAATCTTTGTTGCATTGCATTTTCAGTGGTCGAAAACTTAATGTGGGGTTTCAGCCCCTGAAAATGGGTAATATTCAACAATCTGAATATGGAGCTGCATTGAGATCCCCATATCTCTGGGACTGAACGATGTAAGGCCTTGAAATTGAAGATTCCAAAAGAAAAGTTTATTAAGAACTAGATTCTAAAGTTATATTGTGATATCTCTGATACTTCTTGAGTATGGGCACGTAAACTTTGGAAAAATAATATTTATATATTCTTTTTTAAAGTACTTTTACTCGTTTATAAATCACTCAATGGCCTAGGACCTAAATACATTGCAGATATGCTCACTGAATATAAACCTCACAGACCACTCAGATCATTAGGATAGAGTCAGTTAAAAATACCAAGGGTTCACACAAAACAAGGGGAAACTGCTTTTAGCTATTTTGCCACCTGCAGTTGGAATCAGCTTCCAAAAGAAATCAGATGTGCTACAACATTAGTCACATTTAAATCTAGACTCAAAACTCATCTGTTTAGCTGTGCATTTATTCAATGAGCACTGTGCGATGTCCGAACTGAGTGCACTGTATTTTATGTATGCATAATCATTTTCTATTTTTAACTGTTTTAAATTCACTTTAAATCAATTTTTAAATCATTTTCAAAGTTTTTAAAGGGGTCATATGATGCAATTTCAAGTTTTCCTTTCTTTTTGGAGTGTTTCAAGCTGATTGTGCATAGATAAGATCCCTGAAGTTGCAAAGACTAAAGTCTCAAAACCAAAGAGATATTCTTTATCAAAGTTAAGACTCTGCCACGCCCCCCCTAAAACAGCTCGTTCTAACACGCCCCCACATATCTACCTCACTATGTGGAAATATTTGCATAATGCCGCCCAAATGTTCATGCAAAGAAAGAAGGCGTGGTTTCAGTAACCGCAGATAGTGTTGAAGAAGCATTCTCAGGGAGACGCAGTGTGTTTCTAGGCGAAAGCAAAAGCACTTTATTTGGCCTTCCGAAAGTAGATGTATTTAGGAATCTTTAAGATTACTTACAACAGAACACAAATGCATTTTATGGACGACCGTTTCGTGAACCTAGGAGAAGAGGTAATTCTGACTTTGCTATGACAATCTGATGCTTCTGAATCAGCTACTGTTTTGTTATTAGTTTAAGTATTTGCTATTGACTGTTCAAATGCGGAGTTTTGCGCATCGTGTGTGTGTGTGTGTGTGTGCGTGCGCGCGTTATGGTAAGGGGCGTTACATTCCGACGAGTGTTTGCGGTGTTCAGCCAATCACAATGCACTGGGTCAGCTGGCCAATCAGAGCAGACTGCGCTTGTCGGAAGGAAGGACTTTGTAGAAAATGAAGCGTTTGAGAGAGGCGGGGCATAGAGGACCTACAATAATGTACAGTATTTGAAAAATAATGTGTTTTTTGAACATTAAAGTATGTCAACATTTTCTGTTACACCAAATACACAAAATAATGATCTTTATAAATGCATCATATGACCCCTTTAAATTCCTTGTTTTATTTTTGTGATTATTTTTATGATTATTTTACTTTCTTTTATGTAAAGCACTTTGAATTACCATTGTGTAAGAAATGTGCTATATAAATAAACTTGCCTTGCCTTATATCACTCAGACAGGTATGTTCAATGCAGTTGTTTTGACAGAAGGAAACAAGATACATTTCTAGTTTCAACATTATTTGTTCTTCAGATATTCCTCTTTAAAATAAAATAAGTATCATATTTATGCAAAGTGACCCATATTTTGTTTTTTGACCACTGAATATGTGTACAATTTAACAATTTACTGCTAGAGCTATACTGAAATTCTAATATCTCTGGAACCGAACCAAATAGGGCCTTAAAAGGAACACTCCACTGTTTTTGAAAATAGGCAAATTTTCCAACTCCCCTAGAGTTGAACAGATGAGTTTTACCGTTTTCGAATCCATTCAGCCGATCTCTGGGTCTGGCGGTAGCACTTTTAGCTGTAGCTTAGCATAGATCATTGAATCTGATTAGACCATCAGCATCTCGCTCAAAAATGACCAAAGAGTTTCTATATTTTTCCTATTTAAAACTTGACTCTTCTGTAGTTACATCGTGTACTAAGACCGACGGAAAATGAAAAAGAAAATTTTCTAGGCCGATATGGCTAGGAACTATACTCTCATTCCAGCGTAATAATCAAGGAACTTTGCTGCCGTACCATGGGTGCAGCAGGCGCAATGATATTACGTTGAACCAATATCCAAAAAGGGAATTAAAGATATCTTTAATACTTCTTGAGTTACAGGCATGCAAACTTTTGAGAAAAAAACTTGAAAAGTGCCATCTTATCTTTCTTTAGAAAAAAACATTAGCAAAATCAAGTTTTTGAAACTTGGGACTTTTCTAAAATTTGGTTGATTTGACACGGAAGATTTCCAAATGCTATTCCTCTGAACTTTATATTCAAAACAATCAAAACTACAAACTATTACAGTTTCCACAAGAAGATCAAGCAGTACAAGTGTTTTTAACACTGACAATAATAAGAAATGTTTCTTGAGCACTAAATCTGCCTATTAGAATGATTTCTGAAGGATCATGAGACACTGAAGACTGGAGAAATGGCTGCTGATCATTCAGCTTATGTCAGCTCATTTAAATGTTGAAAATATTTCACAATATCAAGAGTTTTTGCTGTATTTTCAAATAAATGCAACCTTGATGAGCATAAGATTCTTCTTATTTTTTATCAACCCTAAACTTTTGAACGGAAGTGTAGGTGTAAAAAAAAATACATTTATTTGATGTGTTTTTTTAATGTCATGAGGATGCTGTTTTTAGTCTGTCCCCACCTCAGATTTATCATTATATTTACAAAAATGCAAATTTTCCATGCAAACTCTTTCTTCTGTAAATACTTTTCAAATAAATCAAAGGGTTATGTGTCAAGCCTATTACCATCATACATTTCCCTTTTAAATTAATGATTTAATTAAAGAAAATTTTGTCATATTGAAACCACCATCCTGAAAGTGTTTTTTTAAGTTAAACACTTTTTTATAATTAAAATAATTTTTCTTGTTTTATTACAATAAACATTGCATAATATAACATTGTTCCCATGATTTTACATATTAAATATCTTTTAATAAATTCCTGCATTTGGACTATTAAAATCACCTTACAAAACTAATAAAAACGCTGTTTCATAATAACCCACCTGTAAATATTGTTACCTGAGCAGTAACTGTCCTAAAACAACAACACATTTACCAAACAGCAAAAGTGGTTTTTATTTTTGTTTCACGTGTCTGTGCAGACACTCATCACCTGGGGCAAGAATTCCCTTTACAAATAATGTCATATGTATCATATGTTTCCTGATCCCTGGCACATGATATGTGATGTGTGTAGTGTGAGAGAACGGGTCTGTTTGGCTGAGTACTGTTCAAAATCACTCACACTCACTTTCTCGTGCCCTCCTGTGAGCTCGCTCCCTCTCCCGCTCTCTCCGCTGGCTCTGGAGAGACTCCGTCCCCGTCTCTGTGTCCAATCCATCCCGACTACTCACAGCATTGGCACTAGCACACACAAACACAAAGAGAAAGGGGTCTTTATTATATGGTCTCGAACCCATCTTTATTATGCCGAGTCATAACACACTTGGCCATAAAAGTCGTGAAAATGTTCTGGGAAACCTTCTGAAATGATGATTACCTACATTCAATTTCATCGCCAACAGATATTTCATTGTTTAGGGGTATATGATTAAAAGCCATGCATTATCAGCAGCTGTCACTAGTTATTCAAAGCTGAGAATTTAAAATATGGTAAAAAAGGATTTAGGACCAGCTGAGATGAACTGCAGCCTAGGAGTTTCAAACCCTGCAGGCCTGTGGTCAGGTCCCAGAAGAGCAGGTTGGGGGTAAATGAGGCCACGATGCAATGTAAGAATGAATAAGTGTACGCGGATATGCTAAAGGCTAGTTATTCTAGCAGAGCGGTTAGAGTGCTTTTGCTCAGGGCAGAAAAGAAACATGAGGTTGGTGAGAACAGCTCGATGTGACACATGCAAAGATGCGCACACATGATAACAAATGAGAAAAAAAAGCTGTTATTTTTGCATGGTTGCTCTGGAAAAAAATAATAAACTGTGATAATGAGAAAGTGACATTTCTGTATGTATTTTAGCATAAAAACCTACATCTAGGATCATGGGTTCAATTTCCAAGGAATGTATAAATGCAATCTTGAATGCAATGTAAGTCACTTTTGGATAAAAGCATCTGCTAAAAGCATACATATCAATTTAAATGTCTTCCACACTATTTCTACCTACCTAAAAGAGGCAGTAAATGTAATTTGACTTAACTGATGTTAATACACATTTAGTACAGATTTTATGGGCATATTGTTACGGTTAACTGTTTTGCATAATTCTTTTAATAAACTAACCACTATAACAATGCAAATAGTGCTTACAAACGTCTCTGCTTCTGACTAGTCATGAATTTTTGTAAGTATTTTTGCTTTCGTATCCCTTCAAGGGTCTTTCCGTAAGTAAATTTGCCTAGACATAGATTTACCTATTTAAGTTATAGTTTCAGTTAAAAGCACTGTGCTTAAATCAACATGCATTCACATATTAAGAAAATCCTTACGTTTAATTTTTTGTTATTTTTCTCTGTATTTCAAATCTGTTTCTATAATGTATCAGCCCAAAGAGAACATATAAAGCTTGTTAATATCCGTTGAGCTCTGCTAAAATCTATTTAAACCTGCTCACGGACAAGAAGGTAGGAAAAAACCCTTGTAATTTAATGATACTATTTGGGAGAAAATATTTTAACCCAAACAAATAAATAATTCTTGAATGATTTCAAACCATTTCTGGAAATTGTATCTAACCAAAGTTTACTTGCATCCATTCTCCAAAAAGGAAAGTCCCACTCCTCAAGCACAACTAGCTCAAACACAAAGCATTGTGCTAATGTCTCTCTCTGCTGGATGGAGTCTGTTACTTCACCAGTATGGTGATAATTCACCAAAATGTATGCATTACTTCAGTGGATCTCAACGGTTAAGACATCATTTTATATTGGGTCACAGGTCTGTGCTGAGAGTAAATTGGAGGGAGAAACAAAGCTAAATGCAAATAATAACAATCTTCTAATGGCAAAGGTGGCACAGAGGTGCTTCATTTAGGTGTCTTTACACAGACTGTTTAATGCTGCGTAGACATGGCAATTTATACAGCAATTAAAACTGTACAATTTGATACTAAGGGATTAATTGGGTCAGAACAGGCATAATTTAGTCTAGAATTTCATCTTTACACTGAATTTTTTAGCAGGCACTGAGCAGTCTTACCTGTGTAAAGATGCCTTAAAGCAGCACTATGTAACTTTTTCTGTGTTCGAAATTTGCTAAATGTATATAATGAGCGAGTACATCATGAATTCATCTTCCAAACCGCATTTTTGTCTTATTCCGAATCACTACGGTACACTTATAATAAGTACTTGTATTTGGACTATTGTAGCCTGGTCGGGTTATCACCGCTGCGGAGTAACACCAACCTGCGTGAATAGCCAAGGACAGCAAAATAAGAACAAGAGAGTTTAAAAACAAGAGAGAGATTTTATTTGCTGGTGACTTCAAATGCAAAGTAAAAAAGAAAAAGAAAAAGAAAAAAAAAGATTAAGCAATTAATATATAATTTGGCCTGATTTACAATGGCTTGAAATCAGTGTAAAATATATTTTATCACACAATGGTATTAAATAGGCTTGCAAAATTACGGGAATTTTCAAGACTGGAAACTTTCCATGGGAATTAATGGGAATAAACTGGAAATTTGCAAAATTGCAGGAACTGGTGACTTGAATGTAGTTGAGAAAAAATCTTGCCGCATAATCTTGGTTAAAACAACCTGATTTAATGCAATTTCAGTTTAATTTCTAGCCTACGCACTGCTCAATCACATGCACACAGCACAGGGCTATTGAGGCCACACACCCTACATGCACTGTGCTTTCCTCCATAACATGAACAGATCATTTCTTAAATCCTGCACACAAAATATCAAAATGTCCATCTTGGTAAGTATTCATGTAAATTACATGAATATTAGAACAAAAATTATTTAAAACTTCCTTGTGCTGTGTGTAATATACTGTGCAACTAAATGAGGCTATACCATTGTAAAAACAAATACACTGACTGAACAAACCATAGACTGGAACAAACATTTAGGTGAGATAATAATAAAACAGAAGTCTAAAAATAACCCTCCCCCACACACAATCTCTGGGGGATTCCCCTCCATTTTCTCTGAAGACACACTTGCTGCATTTGAGCCCAAAGACTACATCGAAGTTTTGATATTCTAAATATATTTGATCTATGGGATTCAAGTTTAACTAGTAAATACCAAAAAGTGTTTTTATAGTAGCTAGCTAGCCAGTAAATCAAGATATGAAAAATCTAAGCGAGTTAGCACTATTTCATTGACAATTTATGAGGTATAAACTAGCTCAAGCTGTGATGCTCTTTCTGCTAGCCAGCTGTCTGTTATCATACAGAAGTACAGTACTGGTCAAAAGTTTGGAAACATTACTATATTAATGTTTTAAACATTGCATATCTTTTGCTCATCAAGCCTTCATTTATTTGATCAAAAATACAGAACAACCCGGTAATATTGCGCAGTATTACTGGTACACTCTTTAAAATAAAGGTGCTTCAAACGGTTCTTCAAGCGATGCCATAGAAGAAGCATTTTTGGTTCCACAAAGAACCATTCAGTCAAAGGTTCTTTAAAGAACCATCTCTTTCTTACCTTTTTATAATCTGAAGAACCTTATTTCACCACAAAGAACCTTTTGTGAAACAGAAAGGTTCTTCAGATGTTAAAGGTTCTTTATGGAACCATTTAGACAAAAAGGTTCTTCTATGGCATCGTGAAGCACCTTTATTTTTAAGAGTGTATTACAATTTAAAATAATGGTTTTCGGGTTTTTATATACTTTAAAATATAATGTTTTTCTGTGATGCAAAGCTGAATTTTGAACAGCATTACTCCAGTCTTCAGTGTCACATGATTCTTCAGAAATCATTCTAATATACTGATTTATAACCAATTTTGGAAACAGTTGTGCTGTTTAATTTTTTTTTAATTATTACCTGTGATTCTTTTTTCAGGATTCTTTAATGAATAAAGAGGTTTTTTTTTTTAAAGAACAGTGTTTATTTAAAATAGAAATCCTTTTTTAACAATACACTACCATTCAAAAGTTTGGGGTCAGTATATTTTCTCTTTTTTTTAAATAAATTAATACTTTTATTCAACAAGGATGTGTTAAATTAATAAAAAAGTAATAGTAACGACTTATATTGTTAGAAAAGATTTTTATTTTGAATAAACACTGTTCACAAGTTTTCATTCATCTGTAAATCCTAAAAAAGCATCACCGATTTCCCCCAAAAATCCCAAAATGTCATTTTTTAAAAATTTGTATTAGTTTGCATGCATGTGAGCCTATGATCAGACAAAAGGTTTATATTTATGTTTGTATATGATAGGTTTTATAAATTTCCCAAAATTTTCAATTAATTCCTGGTCAATTTCAAACTTGGAATATTTCCAAAATTCCCCAGACGACGTTCCCATGGAAAGTTTCTGGAAAATGTCCACCCCTTTGCAACCCTAGTATTAAATACCATTTATTGCACATTTCTTGTACTCTGTGAGTAAGTATATGTTGTATATACAGGGGGCAGCAGGCAGACAGACAGTTTAGTCCTGGGGAGACCGAGGCAGCTGTGTCACCCTGCAGAGCCCACAGGGCAACGGAGACGGGTGCTTTTAATGTCCACTAATCCGGATTAGCTGCTCAAGGGACAGCCGAAAACATACTCTCCTCACCCTGCCAAATGTATTCAGCAAGACCAATAAATAATGCACAGCACAAAGGGAGCGGCAGAGGATAACATTTGGTTACTTACTAATGCTTACAGTGAAGCTTTTATAATGGAAATAAGGGACATTTCTTGTGGGAGAAACATTCATTTTAATTTCATGTAAAATTGGCTGGTAGTCTGTTGCAGAGACGATGAGGGAAAGGACTGACTGGAGAAAGGAAGTGGTCTGCGGTTCACCTTCACATGTTCTGGCACTAGATGGCACTAGACACTATAGAAAACAACTGGTGAGAATTCTTTGGTGAGGTGAGAAGGCTACAACTCAGAACACCACCAAAAAAAGACAGAAAGTCAAACATTAGATAAAGAAATTGCAGGACTTTTACTAAGTGAACTGGTGCAACAGAGATGCACAAAGAAAGGCTGCTGCCCTGAAGCTCGTTGATCTCAATTTAGCTTTCAACATCTTCAATACGAACAAAGAGAATATTTAATCTGTGTGTTTGCGGCAGAAGCACAACATAACCAGATATGCAACAGCGCACAACTCTCAAAGCCTTCTTTACAGCTCAAGCAATATTAAAGAGTTTTTTAGAACCCCAAGCAAATGGAGAGAAGAAGAATCTAGTCTGATTGGTTTTAGCGAATCGGTTTGTTTTGAAATTTAAAAAAGTGTGTTGTTTATTGAAGCAAATGGTTCAAGAGATATGTATATAATTATATGCATACTAATTATTGAAAGAAAAAAACATGATCACGCACGCGCGCACACACACAAAAGTTACAAAAAGTTAAAGTCAATTTAATAAAATCATTAAAACGAATAGATCCAAGAAAGATTCATTCATGAATCCGATATGACTATCACTAAAATACTTTATTGTTATGAAATCTCTAATTGTTATTTGCCCAAGAACATGAATTATTATTGTGGGCAGCTGTGTATGAGTGGAGGGAGGCATTGCTACATGACTGGTTGAAGACCTGACCGCATGAATGCTGGCAAATCAAACAAACACATTGAACTTTGTGAGGCAAACATGCATTCTATTAGAATGCAGCTCAAGAGACAGGCACTGGAATTAGACTGTGATTCACACATGTGGCTCCTTGAAGGACAAGAATGATATTTTCCCTCCAGCTGGATAACAGACATCTGCTACTGACTGTGGTCAGGAAGTCAGAACAAATCAACTCAAATCAGTGGTTTTGTAATGCTTGACAATAGTGTGTGTGTCTGTGTGTATTCTATGAGTGTATTCAATGCAGACATTTGCAGATGTATTTGTCTGGTTATTCAAAAACACAATGCATATGCATATATAATGCATATATGCAATTCATACACTGATTTGAATACACTTCTTCTGTGTTGAACATGTTTTACATTCTGAATTAAATTGTATTGATGCTTGCAGGCCTTAAAAGTCTTAAAGGGGTCATATGATGCGATTTAAACTTTTCCTTTCTCTTTGGAGTGTTACAAGCTCTTGGTGCATAAAGAAGATCTGTAAAGTTGCAAAGACTAAAGTCTCAAATCCAAAGAGATATTCTTTATCAAAGTTAAGAGTCAACCATGCCTACCTAAAACGGCTCGTTCTAACACGCCCCCACATATCTACATCACTATGTGGGAAGATTTGCATAACGCTGCCCAAATGTTCACGCAAAGAAAGGCGGCGTAACTTTTATTCCCGCTGTAGTATTGCTGTTGCTGCCGCCGCCATGTCGTGAAGGCGCTGTGTGTTTCGTTGTGAAAGCGAAACTACTTTGTTTGGTCTTCCAAAAGAGGACGATATCCGCTT